AAATGTTGTTGCCTAGTGATGGGCAGACAAACCGATGGAAGGTAGAAAGGAGAACAGAAAATGAATGATAATTTAGCTCCAACGTGTGGCAGAGAGCATGTATTTAGAGCTAAGAAGCTCTTTCTGTCACCTGTTGGTGGGGTGATCTTTGGCAAGTATTTAACCTCACAGAGCTTTGATTTCCTTGTCTGAGAATGGGTGGGAATCTGCAGAGCTGCTGAGGTGATTAGGTGAAATTCTATGCCAGTAGTCCAAGTCCCAGTGCTAAGCAGGCTTTGTGTTCCCTCCTCCTCACCAGCTTCTCTCAGACAAGGCCACCTTGAAATCACCCAGCCTGTGACTCCTGTGGTACGAAGGAGGCCTGGAGGGCAGCCCAGTACTACATCTCTCTAGGGGTCCTCTTGGGCCAACCCTTTTATTACCATATGTCTCTATCTCACTAAAATAATAGGGTTAAACCAGCTCTGCCATGTTTGCCTGTAGAAGACTGTTCTTCTCTTCCTTCATACACATGTGACATTGTGTAACAGAAGTAGAGTTCATGCCCCCAAATAACAGGCTTTTAAAAAAATTATTTATTTTAAATTTCAGTTTAATATGAGGGTACAAGTGAATAGGTTATATTGTTTGCTTTCTAAGGTACAGTTGGAGCTGTAGCTGAGCCTGTCACGAAGCAGGTGTGCTGCACACCCTTACACTGTGCACATTAGGTGAGAGCACACCAATCCCACTCCTCCTCCCCTCTCCCCTTGCACTTGAATATACTTGTGTTTTTTCTCTTTTGATAGTTTTTCTATTGGTTTCATATTAGTATTGAGTACATTGGCTACTTGGTTTTCCGTTCTAGTGATACTTTACTAAGAAGAATGTTCTCCAACTCGATGCAGGTAAATACACAGATATAAAGTCTCCATCTTTTTTAATGGCCGAATCCTATTCCCTGGTATACGTATGCCACAGTTCAAACAGGCTTCTGTCAGTTTCCCCCCAGGCAGAGAAACTTAGGCAATTGGCATTGCTATAAGGCTGTTTTTGTATTTAAAATGTATGGCTCCATTTGCCTCTCACAAAACTAATCACCAACATTCTCTCCTCAAATTTTCTGTCATGACTAAAATCATTTTTAGTTTCCTGTTCCTTGCTTGTAGCAAGGGAGTGGGGTGTGAGGAGGAGCAGGAAGTTCTCTTGTCCAACTCCCTTTTTTTGTTTCTTCACCAATTCTGAATAATGAAGTGAAATTACATGATAGCGGGGCATTTGGTGCCTGGAGAGCAGCTGTGCTGCCCCCACCTTGGCCTGGACAGCTTGAGCTGACTGACCCCAAGCAAGTCGTGAGCCCAGCACAGACAGGGTGGGCCTCGCCGTTGGAGACCTTCCACTCCCCCACCCCAGGCTTCACTAAGAGGCTTGTCTCCTTGGCCCTTCCAGCCACAGCACAGCCTGGGAAGGGCTAGACTGCAGACCTCTAAGTCCGTGGGCTGGCGCAGCACCCAGCATTTGGTAGGATTTTATATTTGTTTGGGCTTACAGAGAAGGAATCTCCTTTTTCCATTTCTAAACTTCTGTTAGGCCTATCAGACCTAATGGCTTAGGGTCAATGCTGTTTATCTCCCAGATACAGGCCCACTCTTGAAATCTTTTTTTTTTTTTTTTTTTGCAGTTTTTGGCTGGGGCCAGTTTTGAACCCACCACCTCCGGTATATGGGGCCAATGCCCTATTCCTTTGAGCCACAGGTGCTGCCCCACCCTTGAAATCTTTAGAATGACCTCTATCGTTTGGGCTCTTAGTAAGTGACTCTGCCCAGCTGGGTTCCTGGTTCCATTTGTCAAGACTGGAATTTGGCCCAGGAAAGCATCAGAGGTTCCAGTTGGTTGGGGGTGGGGCCTTGTGCTGCCTTGGAAGCCACTGTACAAATAGTCCTGGAGGTGACTCCTGGTGGAAGGAGCCCAGCCTGAACATATGTAAGATGGAGCTGGCCCACTCCCTTTGAAGCTGGGCGCAGTGGGAGCAGTAATTGCTGGCTTTGATTGCACAGACTTCACTGCTGGGCTGGGCTGTGCTAGGGCTCGCCTGGCCTGGCCCAGCCTCAACCACAGCCCCCCAGTGAAGCCTTAGATGTGGGAAGGCTCCAGTCTCCGGAGCCTCATGCCTGTGGTTTCTTGAAAAGAATCTGGGTTGGACCTGTTTTATATCTGTAAAGCAACACTACAAGGCCCCCATTTCTCCCATTTGGAGGTAAGGGTTGGTTGACCCTGTATTTTAAAAGTGCCACCAGTGAGGGGATTTCTTTGCCATGTTTAAAAATACTAGTTACACTGTTAGGAAAACATTTCTGGAGGGGATGAGCTGCTTTCTTGGCAAACAGTTAAACAGAGGATCTCTGAAGCTAAATTTTCAGGAGGATTTTCAAGGTGACACTGGAATAATGAAATAAGGGGTGGGAAAATGTGAAATCATAGAAATAAGTGACTTTATAGAAGATGTAGAGATCCTTTCCAGGCAGGTGACATCATCCTTGAGGTAAATGGTCATCTCTGGGCAACCATGTCTGTTTTAATAATTATGTTATCATTTAAAATCAAAAAGGGATATGGGGAAGGTGCCATTAGGTAAGGAGAGAAGGGAGAGAGAGTTTTCCTCTCACTCTGATCAGAAGTGCAGGGTGCTGCAGAATATGGGAGGCAGGCCCTGCTTGGAATGGAGGCCACAGAAGTTGTCTGCACCTCACTACTTCAGGGGTCACCTGTGGGTGGGTTGGGGACTGATGCAAAGAGAGGGACAGGGTGTCTCCCTGCAAGCCAGCATTTCAGGCAGCCGGGAGCCAGTCAGTTCTGAATCACAGCGCAATCTCTGACTGCCAGTTCAGGACTTCAAGGCAAGACCCCATCGGGAAGCTGAATGTTTTCAAGTCAGAATGACAGGAAAACCTCTGCAGGGACACACCTTTGACAGTCTGTGATGCAGAAGTAGAATGGAATGGACCTGTGGTGTGCCCTCAGCACCCACCCCAGGCTCTCTTTGGAAAGCACAGGCCTTCCATCCTTTGTTGCTCTTTGATGCCCCATGCTAAGGATCAGTACCCCTGGACCCCTGTCCTATTAAAACACCACAACAATTTACTGTGTGTTTTCATGTTAAACAGGGAAGGATTAATTCTGCAGAACAGGGATTGAAATTATCATTGAAGACCTCCTCATTTGAAAAGATTGTGTGGTTGACTTCTCATTTTGTATTTGCTTGTTTTTTTGTTTGTTCAGTGGCTACACAGATGTTCACATAATTTCTTCACAGTCATTCTTGGGGACAGCATTGGTGGTAATCACAATAGTCATCCTCACCAACATGCTCATAGGTCCCTCCGTGTGCCCTGTGCTTTGTAAAAGCACCTGAAATGTCCATGGCTAACCTCTCCCACAGCAGCCCTCAGGGCAGGTCCCCTCACAGTTTCCACTCTGCAGGTCTCTATCCTTCTGTGAGAAGAACCCTTGGAAACTGTACCTTGCCATCTAGAGTTATGTTACCTTTATTCACCTTTGACATAAGTGAATAATCCTTTTATTTCTCTTCTCCCTCTACTTACTGAAATGGATAAGGGAATCCACTGTTTAGAATTAATTTTTAAGAGGAAACTTCTCCTTATAACAGGGCTACCACAATCAAGCACAAAGAGTAGGGATTCAGATGAGGCTGCTGAGGGTGCAGGTGAGAAGGTGCTTCCGGCCTCGGTGCTACTAGAGGCAGGCAGCTTCTCCAGGTCCAGGGCGGCGGGGCAGGTGCTCCCTGGAGGGAAGGGACAGAACTTGGCAGGCTTTCACTTTCCTCTTGCTTTGTCTCTTCTTGTTACATGGTTACATTTTATTTATTTATTTATTTATTGAGACAGAGCCTCAAGCTATCCCCCTGGGTAGAGTGCTGTGACATCACAGCTCATAGCAACCTTCAACTCCTGGGCTCAAGCGAGTCTCCTGCCTCAGCCTCCCAAGTAGCTGGGACCACAGGTGCCCGCCACAACGCCTGGCCATTTTTTTTTGACGGTTGGAGCCATTGTTGTTTGGCGGCCTGGGCTGGATTCAAACCCGCCACCTTAGGTATATATGTGACTGGCACCTTAGCCACTTGAGCCACAGGAGCTGAGCCTACATTTTATTTTTAATCACTTTTTTAAAAATCTCAGATCAGTAAAGGTCTTGGAATTTGGGGATTCCTTTATTTGTTTTTTTGAAAATCATTAATACCAGCATCTAGTAACAGTTACTTTAAAATATTTGCTGAGTGTACTTTCCAAGGCTAACAGAGATCTGGGTTGTTGGGAAGGGAAAAAATGTTGAGAATTATAATAAAGTCCCAAGTGTGAATGGAGATATTTATATACCCCAGAGTGTGAACAGGAGTGGACAAACATGTCCGGTGGGCTGGCGCTTGTCATCCTGGCAGCTGGCGAGGCACTTCATAATGGACTGTGTCTTAGACCCGTGTAGAGTCACAGGGTGACTTCCCACAGTAGAGTGAAAACACCCAACACTCGGGAATGATAAACCTTCCCGTGACTGTTGCCTGC